TTTCATATTTTTAGTTAAAATGACTAACGATTTAGCCAGAATTTAACTTTTCTCCACTCAAATCATTAACTAAATTGTTACTTATTTTGGAGAATCCATTTCAGAACAACTCTAATCATGCTAATCATTTTATGTTTTTAGCTAAAATAGTTAATGATTTAGCTTTTTTTTTTTATAGCTTTTCTCCACTTCAACCACTAGCTAAATGGTTAGCTATTTTGGCTAAAAGTATTTTTCATTAGTTAAATATAACTAACAAGAAGTGACTAGCTATTTATTCTTTTTATTATTTTATTTTTTGTTTTGACATAAAGCAAAAGTTAAAAAAATTATTTATATTTTAAACTCAAAAAAATATTAAAAGAATTTATGCTTAGTTAAAATAGAGAGTACGGTTAGAGTTACTTACTAAAAAATTGCTAACTAAAATAAATTTATAGTCATTTTAGTTAGAATTTAGCTAAAATTTAGAGAGTTCCTTTAGAGATGCTCTCACACTAGCTAAATATAGCTAGTAAGAAGCGACTAGCTGTTTGATTTTTTTATTATTTTATTGTTTTAAATCATAATAAATGTAAAGGTTCTTTTAAAATTCAATAAATTATTTATAGTTTTAAACTCAATAAATATTAAAATTATCTATATTTAGTTAAAATATGAAATATGGTTGGAGCGACTCACTTAAAAATTACTAGCTAAAATAATTTTCTTGTCATTTTAATTAAAATTTAACTAAAATTTAGAGAGTTCTCTTAAAGATGTTCTATGTCAATTCTTACTTTTAGATTTTAAAAGAGTGAGTTGCTCTTCGAATATTATTTTTATTTATTTTTATATGATAGCTCTTCGAGTATTATTAGCACCCCGCATAGACGACGTTGAGGGATATTCAGACCAAATCAGTTTCACCTTAAAGGCTGCATCTAACGTGACAATGGTAGAAAAGAAATAATAAAAAAATAGTACTACCTTTGAAATAATTTTTCTCTAGAAACGTTTTAATGGAAATTAAACCATTCGAAAAAAAAACATGTTGTTTTGGAGTCATCATTGGACAGAAAAAAAACAAAACAGAAGAAAACTCTTCAGATAAATTCATTCCATTATTCTTTGCAAATGAGAATATTGAAAAGACAATATTCACTTTCCCGGATAAAATAATCGGAAAAAGGGGGAAGCAAATACGATTGATGTACACATTGAAAGGTAGGGCCTTACGGGAACTTGCAGCATTAGCGACTTCGGCCTTCTTACAGCTTTCTGTTTAAGAAAATTGTTCAAGTTATTCTTATCCTCTGCGAGTTTGAATTTTTATTTTTTATTTTTTATTAATGTTTTTTAATTAATATAGTTATTGATTAAAAATTATATTAATTAAGAGTAATGATACAAATTACTCATGTATTTTAAGAGGTATTTATCTTTTTTTTTTCTTTATGTTTCATTTTCACAACATAAATAAGGAAAATGAGACAAATACTGCATCAAGTGTATGAGTTTAGATTTTTATCTATTAATTCTTGACTAATATATTCTTATTCAAATAAAAATATTAGTAGAAAGAGTATTAATTAAGAATAAATAGTAAAAATTAAGACTCGTACACTTTTAAAAATATAATGTATAATCCTTAAAAGGTAAAATTCTCTCATAAAACTATTATTTTCTCTTCTTGCTTTAAGCAACTAGTTTCTTAGTGTGACAAAAGTTATACAACCACCAAACCAAGTTTACCTTTTTTTCTTTTTTGCTTGCGAACATGAAAGATCCTGTGATTTGGTAAGTTCACTCACAATAAAAGTTTTGCCCGTGTAATTTCCTTTGATTCAAGACTGATGGAATCATTGGCGCACACAAGTAGTTGTAATAGACAATGGAAATTCATGTGTCTTTTTGGAATTTAACTCGTTATGATTTTTATAAAACCTTCAATGCCCCCCAAGAAAAAAGTGTTTTTTTTTTTTGGTGATTCAACGTAGCCTGATAACAACATCATAAAAGGTCCCTCTAGTGTCCATTAGTTATTTGTTGGGTGTATTTCCATCTACATGCCATTGCCAATGTGTCATTGGACCTGGACACTTGTTGCGACAACAAAAATTTAAGGGTCCGGATGTCTTGGACGCCTTTTGTTTTGTTTTGTTTTTAAACGGTCCCTCTAAGAGGTGTAAGAATTGAGCCGGAACCTGAGTAACTCGTCCGACCCGACCTGATCCGACCCGAAAATATAGGGGTATATTTTTTTAAAAAAAATCGGATTCAAATAGGCCTAACCCGCAATGTGCGGGTTGGGCCACGGGGCGGGCAGTATCTAACCCGCTTTGCCCCGACCCGGCCGTTATACTTGGGTATTCTGAATACCCTAAGCCTGTAACCCTAATTTCCTAAATCCTCGCCTCCTCCTAATCACTTCACGCCTCCCTCAGTCCCTCAGTCTTTTGATCTCACCTCCCCTTCACCCTCAGTCTCGCACTCTCGAGTCTCGATCTCGCCTCCCTCAGTCTCGCACTCTCAATCTCGCCTCCCTCACCCTCAATCTCGTACTCTCTCGATCTTGCCTCCCTCAGTCTCACACTCTCGATCTCGCCTCCCTTAGTCTTGCATTCTCGCCTCCCTTGCCTCCTTCTCAGTTCCTTTTCTCACTTTTCACGCCATTCCTCAGACTCATCGACCATCGTTCCTCATTCTTTGTTCCTCTTCTTCTTCTCAGTCTCTCACCGTTCCTCGCCATTCCTCACACTCGCCCTTCCTCAATCTCCGTTCCTCTTCTTCTTCTCTGTTCCTCTTATTTGAACAGATTATTTGAAATGTTCATTGAAGACAATCGGTAAGACTCTAAACTGATTTGATTTTGATTTTGAACTGTGCACTGTTTACTGAACTAACTAGTGAACTCCCGCTTTGTTTTCAGGTTTTTCTACTAAGAAGAAGGCACCGACGAGGATCCTTTCTTTTGCCTGATTGCTGAACTTGGTTTTCTTAATTTTGATTGCCTGATTCGAGGTTTTTTCCTGCCTTTCGGACTTCTTTTTGCTTTCTTTTTTCTGATTTCTGAATTGGTTTTCTTTTACCCGATTCGGGGTTCTTTTTGAATTGATTTTTTGATTTCTTTTTGCTTTCATATGAATATTTACAGGGCCGTTCTTTTTTCTAATTGAAGAGGTTTTTTTTCCTTTCATGTGTTTACAGAGCTATGAATGTTTATTATGCCATATTGATTATATTACAAAAATAAAGGGAAGAATATTATTACAAATCAAATAATATGTTAGAAAAGATTGTAAATACATTTCCTAATGACAGTATAGTATACTGCACTTCAGACTCATTACCAACCACCGAATGGGGACAAAAAGAGGTTTTTCTTGACAAAAGAGGATTTTTGAACTAAGATTGATTTCAATTTGGGGTTTGCAAACTTGGGGATTCACTTTTTAGTAGTGTAATTTTGTATTTGTTTTCTCTGTTATCTGAGCTTTAATAATATGGTACTCGTTTATTGTTTCTAAAATCTTGACTCTCGTTTTATGTTGGTTTCTGGTTTTTTGTTTCCAGCCGAGGAAGAAGAGTGAAGACTAAAGAAGCATTTTCAGTCTACAGTCTATACTCGAAAAAGGTTAAGAAGAAGGCAAGACTGAAACAAAAAGGTTAGTTTTTTTGTTTTCTGTTTGTTTTGTGATAACTGAGAAATATTATGTTTACATGAGAACTGAGATGAACCGATTTTAGGTTAATCTCTACGCTTAGTCTCAATCATATGTTATCTGTTTTTTAAGTTAATTTGTGTGCTAGATGAAAAAATTTATCATCCACACGACATAAACTTCTGAAAGCACTTGTAAGTTCTCTGCTGAAACAGAAAGTGACCAATGTCAGACTAAAAATCCCACCTCTGTCTCTGTGCCTAAAGAACTTATTACCTTGCCCACTCCCACACCCAGCCCTACCCCTGTACCTATTTTGGGCACTAAAATTGAAAGCGAAAAGAGGAGGGAGACAGTAAAAAGAGGAAGAAGTCACAAAAAAAAGTCTCTTGTTTGGGATCATTTCAAAATCATATAGGGTGAGGATCCAGATGAGCCTAGGTGTAAGTGTATCCATTGTGGGGCAACATATGCTTGTGATAGTCGGAGACATGGCATTAGTAGTATGAAGGTTCACATAGAAAAGCAATGCAAAAAATACCCATATAGGATCCAAGACAAAAAGTAAAAAATTCTGAGTTTCCAAACCAACACTGAAACTAGAAGTAATCTTGTTGCTATAGGCTTTAACAAGGAGCATTGTCGAAAAGCATTAGCAAAAATGGTGATTGTAGATTAGCTTTCATTTAGGTTTGTTGAAGGTGAAGGATTTAAGAATTTTTGTCAAGTGACGCAGCCTAGATTCTCTATCCCCTCCCGTGTTACGATTGCCAATGACATTTACCAACTTTTTTTTGGAAGAGAGGAAGAAACTGAGGGCTGAATTTAGTAAGGGCAGCCAAAGGATTTACCTAACAATTGATTATTGGACATCCTTGCAAAATATTAATTATTTGTGTCTAACTGCACACTACGTTGATAGTGAGTGGATTGCAAAAAAAGATTATAAACTTTTTCAAAATTTCAAGCCACAAGGGAGAGAGTGTTGGTAAAGTCATTGAGTCATGTTTGCATGCTTGGGGTACTGAGAGAGTCTCCACTATGATTGTTGATAATGCCTCCTCAAATGGCTCCATGATTACCTACTTAAGAAGGAAGATTAAAGGGTGGGAAGGGGTTGTTTTAGGTGGGGAATTTCTGCATGTTAGGTGTTGTGCCCATATAGTGAACTTGATTGTCAATAAAGGTTTAAAAGACCTACATAATTCCATAGCTACCATTCGTAACGCTGTGAGGTATGTGAGGTCTTCTCCGGCTAGATTGTTGAAATTCAAGTCATGTGTGGAGTGAGAGAAAATTGAATACAAAGGTCTCGTAGTCCTAGATGTCTCTACTAGATGGAACTCCACCTATATGATGTTAGATGCAGCCATTAAGTCTCAAAAGGCTTTTGAAAGATATGAAGAGGAAGATGACAAGTTTGTGTCTTATTTTCGGGAAGAGCACGGGGAGAAACGGAAGATTGGCCCGCCACTTGATGATGATTGGGAGAATGTTAAGGTGTTTGTGAAATTTATGAAGACTTTTTATGATATAACTTTGAAGTTTAGTGCCACTTTGAATGTCACTTCAAATTCTTACTTTCATGAGCTTTGTGAGATGCAAAAGCAGCTATCTGAATTAAGAAAACAAGACGATTCAATGCTTTCATCCATGGCTGTAAGTATGAAAAAGAAGTATGACAAGTATTGGGGGAATGTTGAGAATATAAATTATCTTCTCTCTGTGGCTGTTGTACTTGATCCTAGGTACAAAATGGATTATTTGACATATTGTTTCTCTATAGTGTATGATTCTTGCACTTCTGAAACATTAACAAAGAATGTGAAGGATACTATGTACCGGCTGCATGATGTTTATAGTGGGGACAATGGTGAATCTGTGGCTAATGAATCTGGTAGGGAGGTGGCAACAACAAGTACAAAGGAGGCAAAAACGGACGCAGAAGGAAAAGGGTGTTTGTGGAGCTCTTTTGTTAGGAAAATGAAAGAGAAGAATGTGAATGAGTACAAAAATGATGTGGACAGATACTTGACAGACCCTATGGAGGATCCAACTCGGTTAAATTTTGCTGTTTTAGATTGGTGGAAGAATAATGCAACCAATTACAAGGTTCTTTCACTAGTTGCAAGAGACATTCTTGTCATTCATGTTTCAACGGTAGCCTCGGAATCTACTTTTAGTACCAGAGGCTGCATCCTCGATCCCTTTAGTAGTTCATTGAGCCCTAAGATGGTGGAGGCATTGATTTGTACACAAAATTGGTTGCGTAGCCGTGAGCATATCAACCTTATTGACATGGAAGAGTTTAATCAATATGAAGATATTGAGTTTGGTAATGTTTTTACGTTTTACTTGTTCTTTTTTAACTTTATTTCATCTCCTTGCTGTTTATTTTGTTGTCCTAAACCTGATTCTAATGATTTTTTTGTTATGTTTTCTTAAGATTTGTCAAATTCTGTTGCAACATATGAGGGGTAAGCTGGGAATGTAGGTGCTATTATTCTGGATTAAACTGTTTGGAGTGGACTAAATTTCTTATTTTGCTGGACTATATGGACTGTTTATTTGACGTATTGTCAATTTTATTTATGGACTTTATTGACTGTTAAGAAGTATGTTTGATGTTATATTAATGCTTATAGACTATTTATGGACTGTTAAAAAATGTATGAAGTCATACATTAAAACTTTTCCTGCGGATGTAGATAGCATGTGAATTTAGTAAAAGATTCACGTGATAACATGTGAATTTAGGAACAAAATTGCTTCAACAACATTTGGACACAAGCCCAATATCCAGGGCCCAAGCCTGCCAACCCGAGTAACCTGAGCCTACCCGAGGCCACCCGACAAGTTACGGGTTTATGGGCTTATGAGGATGTTGCGGTCCAAAGTTTTCTCAACACGCACGTGCGGCTCGGCCCAATTTTTCAGTCCAACCCGAGCCTACCTGACTGAATTACACCCCTACCCTCTAGTGTCGATTATTTAGTTATTTGTGGTTAATTTTCTCAAAGTACATAGCTTTGACATACAGTAATGAGTTCATTTTTTTTTTGGCCAAAAGATGCCCAGATGAGCTTGTTTTTAGCTTTTGAGCCCAACTTAGCTTCCTTGCCATTTTCTTTCTTCAAGAAAAAGAACTAAATTAAAAAAAAAAAAAAAAAAAAAAAAATACAAAAAAAGGGGTTTTCTCTACAATAAAAGGGATTTTTGATAACTTTTAATTATAATATTTTTAAAAACCGCTATTAAAACTTATTTTGATTGCATTTCATAGCGTTTCGCAAAAATTATTTTCAGTATACATATATATATATATATTAAAAAACCATGAAATATTTTAACGGATTGTGAAAGTAACTTCTCCTCAAATTTTCCTTTTACTCACAAATGTTTTGAAAGCTTTCAGGTCAAAATTGAAATTCACCACCATATGAAAGAGAAAGAAGTAGAACGCGGTTAAGTTGCGGAACAGGGACAGAAGAGCTTTGGAAGCAAAATCTGCAAGTGGGATACGACTGGAAACCATGCCCAGAGCACAGCCATTCTCCAAAAATCAGCCCCACAAACGAACCTCACACATTCCATCACCAACTGCCATCTCCCCATCTCTCTCTCTCTCTTCCCAAATTCTCTTCTACGCTTATTCATCAGCGTTAAAAGAGAGAGAAAAAACATGAGAGACTCACGACGGAAGAAGAAATGCGCCGCCGTCGATTCCGACCGCCTATGGCCAACCCACAGTGATTCAAGATCAAATCCAAGAAACCCATGAACTGATCTACAAAGCTCCAATCACCATGCCGCCTAATTCCCCGCCGATTGGCCGAAATTTCAGTTTGAAATTCCCGGCCACCGCACCTTTCAACGCAACGGAAGAAGAAATGCGCACCGTAGAATAATAAATACCACGTGTACGGTTGAATAGCTTATATAAACTTTTGAGTTTGCCAATAATAGTATGCCTCTTCTGTGACCATGATTTTGCCTTCGGTATTGTTGTCTTCTTCTTTTCGTTGAAAAAGAATTTCTCTCCGAGGCTTCTTCAACACCAAAAAAAAAAAAAAAAAAAAAAAAAAAAAAACCCGACGAGAAGCCTCTGGTTTTTCTCCATTTTTAGGGTTTTCACCGAGCTCCAAATTTTATGGCGGAGGTCATGAACATGCCTGTCGACTCCCTCGACCGCCGCCGCGGCGACCGTAAGGAGAAATCCGCTGAAGATCCTCCCCAATCCTCGTCTCCATCGCGCCGGCGAGAAGGCACGACAGGGACGAGAGGAACCGGAGAGACGACAGGGACGCCGACTGCCCTCCCAGCCGCCGCGAAGATTATCACGATCGCGGCAACCGATCTCCGCCTTCGCCGCCGCTCAGGGAGAGGGAGAGGGACCAGGATTACAAGCGGCGGAGCAGCCTCAGCCCGCCCCCGCCGCCGTATCGGGACCGCAGGCACTCGTCGCCCCGCCGCTCGCCTCCGCCACCGTATAAGCGGTCGAGGAGGGACGATGGAGGGAATGATGGGAGGAGGAGTCCTAGAGGAGGGTTTGGACCTGGCGATAGAAGGTGATAGGACTCTTCCTTGTTGTCTCTGCGATTTCGTGGTCAGTTTACAAGTGATTAAGCTTTTTCATGTTTAGTTTTCAGTGATCATTTTGCATGATTTGAGTTTTGAGTTTAAGTCTTGAATGAAAAAATTGTATTGAAATTTTATGGACGTTGGATTGAGCTTCTTGGTGAAGGGAATAAAACCTGAAAGTGAACATCGAATTGAGACTCTGTGGAAATTAGGACTTTGGTTTGGTTCGGGGATTTAGGGTTTCTCTGCTTGTTGAAGTTATCAGTTCTTATAAGTTATTTGTAGTCAGAAAAATGAAAAGAACAATATTTTTACTGCAGAGAAACCTCTTCTGGATTTTGTTATTGGGTGGACAGGACAATGTACATTAGTCTCGCCTCTTTTAATTTCTTTTTCTCAACTGTCGTTCTTCTTAATTTTTTATTGGCTAGTAGTATGTCTTGATGAAATAGAACTAGTTAAATGCTTCTTGTTTTTCATGCTTGTTTAATTGTTTCTTCTCTCTCCCTCTCTTAATTGTGTTAGAGAATGCTGTGAAGTGATATTCAATTGTATTTGAACATGGGATCGATTTATGGCTCTAAGATTCTCGACATGCTTGGCAGGTTTTCATAATATATGGAAACGTCTACTTCCTTGAACCAATAAAGAAAAGGGATTGGAGTAATTTTTTTTGTGTTGTTTTTGGACTTTGAATGTTTTTCTTGGATTCTTGCATCTATGCATATTTCTTAAACAAGGATGTTGTATTTTCTTTCTCTACTTGTTTCTATGGATTGTTCATTGGATTATTCTCAACGTCTTGTGTTACGATAGATTTATGGTCGGTATTTTCTGTCTAAACTTTTGTTAGTTCGGTGGCTGCACCTTACTGTTCTAAATTTTCTTGATTATTATTGCTGTGAACTTTGTATGGAACAAATCTGGATATGATTATACTGGTGGATATGATTACTCATTCATCGTATGTATATATTGAGTGACTTCATTATTTTATTCTATTTGCTTATCTGGAGGGTGCTTTGTTCCTCTTGCAGAATGGGATTCAGGCCGCAGTGCTTTTGGCGATTGTTCTGGTGTGGGGACTAATCAAAGGTAACCCTTATATGTTTTTCTGATGCTAGTTTTCACTTTTCAATAATTTTGTATTACAATGAAGGATATAACTGTACTTTTTGGGACTATATACATTTTACCTGGTAATGTTAGTAGTTAGAACTGACGAGTCAGTATTTTCAGGGAAGGTTTAATGTCATACAAGCAATTCATTCAGGAGCTTGAAGATGATATCCCGTTGTCAATCCGACATCAATGGTTTCTTACTTGTGCTGTATATGCAGAAAACGTCACATACTCGACCTTTTGCAGGTAAAATGTGGTAAGCAAGCAGGAGCATTTACATGCTTGCTTGATGAAGATGTAAGTCATATTCTTATCTTGGTTATCTCTTTGGCTTCAAATTCATGCCATCGCGTGCAATACTATTTAGAGATTTGGAGTGTGTCAGACTCCATGTTGTTGTGCCAATGGTTTTCATAGTTTATTGTATAAATTATCTGATGTTATTCAAGGCTCCCTTTGAAGGTTATTTGTTAATATGATTTACAATGGTATTGTCTCTTGCTGCATTTCAAATAATATCCACACTTTCTCGTTCCTTTTACTTATACAAAGTATTCTTCATGTAAATAGGTACAGCTTTCTAGACAAGTCAGTGGGCATTTCAACCTTGTTTGAGATTACTAATGATTCCTTGGTGGATCCCACGTCCCAAATTGTTCAAATGCGCATCCCACTTAGTATTCCTGGTCTTGAAGGTTTGATGATTCCCATTAACAGTCGTGGACATATTTTGAAATTAGTTGGGGAAAAAACTGCTCTTGTACGATGGGAGGTAAATGTGCAACTGCATTATCCTTTATTTTTTATTTCTCTTTCTTATAGCACTATATTCGCTGTTATATTGAATGACAGGTTCTCTTGCATCATCAACGGAATGCATCTCAAAGGTTAGTATTCCTTTATCTCTAACTCTCATGGTTGTATGTCCATTACTGAAAAAGTAACCTACTTTGAACATTAGAATTTTAATTGTACTGTTACTTGGCAATCAAGATGAAATATGAGTTAACTCGTAGGCACTTGTTGTTAGTGTCTTGGGAAACTCAAGTGCTCTTGCACACAAGTTTATGCCTTTATAGTAAAATTTGTTATGTTGTTCGGTTGTATGGTTTATGTGGTTTTCTCTTTTTGTGCTTCATTAGTTAATCAATTTATATGTTTTAATTAATTAATTGGACTAATTTTGTGACAGGTCAATAGTTGCTTTGCTGGAGGAGATGACCTTTTTGTTGGAGCATTTTGTCAAGATAGATTATTTACTTAACCATTTCATTTGGCTAGACGTTTTGGATACTTTGATATCTCTAGCTATTTCTTTGTATTCTTTACTTGTTTTTAATGTTAAAGTTGTGGAAAAATGGTGTGATTTGTGTTGTAAACATCTTATTGCCAACTTTGTAGATACTGATAACAATTATTACATTGAATCTTTTTATGTTTTAATTTGAATGTTCCTATTTGGATGTAAGATATTGCTCGAAATCACTATCTATTTGAATGAATTCCAAAGTACATTAACATAATAAAAGTAGATAGGACGTTAGTGTAATGCCTGAGAAAATCTCAGACCTTAAATAATACAATTTATTTATTTAAGCCAAGGATTTTCTTCGAAAATATTATGTGACTAAAGGATTTATGGAATTAATATATGTATTCCTAAATTCTGTAGCAGATTTCATGTTAAGTTCATGTTTTCGATCAAGTAAATTCGATCGATAAATTCTCACCGTACTTTAAGGTGGAATAATTTTCAGTACAAGTATAGTTTGAGAATCTTAATTTCAAGAATCTCCAAACACAGCATGATGTTAGCAGCGTAAAAAAAACGCACTGACATTTTTAAAGAAGAGAAAATCCTTAATTGCCAGACAGTTATGTTAAAGTCACAAGATAAATACCCATAGTAGAAGGGCACAATGTGAGCTCAGGATTTGACACCGTCAGAAACAGCGTCATTCCCGAGATTTAATGCAGAAAAGTTAAATTTAGAATTTATTCAGTATAGAATTAATTTCAAGACTTGAAACAGTTTAAGATATTACTCGAGTGAGAATTTAATGTGATGCCTAAGTAGTCAGGAATTAATATTAAATTGTAAATAAGCAGTTGAAAAGGAATTCTCAGAAACTAGAATTTCCTGTCGGCTAAGTTACTTACCTACAATCAGTATAATTTTTAACAGTTTCAAGAGAAACTTAAGAGAGTGGACAAAAGTACAAGGGGTAGGATTTATTTTTCTCTCTCTCATTCTACACTTGGCCGGCCATGTATAGTAGAAATAGAGCCAAAATTTGGCTAGTTGAGTGTGATAAAAGGTTACAAGTTATGGTGTGATGTGATGGTAGTGGTTGAAGGGGAATTAATGACAATTTTGCTTCTCATTTTCTCCTTCCATAACCGGCCAAGAAAGGGGAGAATTGAACCAAAATTTGGTTGATTGAAGGAGTTGATGTGATGTTAAAAAAAATTATTTCCAAGTTGCCTATAAAAGGAACCATCATAGGATAAGCTTCATTTTTTTTCCTCTCCTTTTTCCCACATCAAAAATCCGGCCATACACACCATTTCCTCTCAAATATTTTCTCCCACTCTCTCAATCTTGAGCCACTATCACACCATAGAAGAAGAAGAAGGAGATCAAGGGATTCTAGGAGAAGACTAGAGTTCAAGGGTTTTTCAAGAGAAAGAGAGAATTCTTCAAGGGTAAGTTCTTAAACTCCCCTCCATTAATTTCTAACCAACTTTAAGCTTGGATTTATGGATGTAAATTTGTGGTTCTTGAGCAGATAAGATTGTAATAAGGGTGTGTGAGTTTTATGTTGGTTTTGTGAGTTTTGAGGTTAGTTTGATGTGGTATGTTTATGCTTAATCTAAGTTGCTTATTTTCGTATTAGAGGAAAATTTTCCGGTGATTTTGACCGCGAAAATGAGGACCATAGAGCGAGATTTTTTAATGTTTTAAAACTTGAACTTATAGCTCTGGATGTTTTGAACATTTTCGGTTACTATGACAAAACCTAATTTTAACTCTAAAACCAAGTTTGAAGCCATTTTACAAAAACGGACAAGCTGTCCAACACAGTTTTGAAAAAAAAAATTGGCAGCCACTGGTTTAGCCAAACGGGACCCTTAGAGGCTGAATCTCAATTTTTCACAAAAGTGACAATTTTATATTTTGATGAGACGAATAAATTTCATGAAGAAAAGATTTTCAAAATCTGACCCTAAGAGGTACTAAAACACAGATTCCTGAAACGGCACAGTTTTTGACTAAAACAGTTTCAAGAAAAACAGCAGCTACGGTTTTCGGCCAAACGGGGCCTTTAGAGGCTGAATTTCAACTTTCACCAAAAATGACAATTTTAGATCTCGACGAGATGAGAAATTTTCATGAAGAACAAAATTTTTAAATCCGACTCGAAGATATAGTAAAACACGGATTTCAGAAACTGCACAGTTTTTAACGAGACAAAACTAAAACAGTGTCGGTTTCAACAAAAAGTTATAAAAGAACCCGAGATAGAATTTCAGTAAAATACAATGACATTAAACCTCATTTTAATGAAAGTATTCATAAAGAAAATTTTCAAGAAAAATGCTTTCTTTAAAGAACATAGTGAGTTATCGAGCAAATCATCCCGACAGGCACCTACGAGCCCAACACGATAGGTCCTCAGGATTTTGAGGATTTGATATGGGTCCAATGCCTGCATTGATTTAAGATACTCCGTTTGAGTTTAAATTTATGCGGCCTAAGAGTTAAAATGCCGTGAATAAGTTTCCAGGCCGAATTGGGCCTTAATATTATAATAAGTCCAATGAGGAAAATTATGGAGAATAAGTTACTAGATGGGGTAAATGATTTTCAATCTAGACATAAGTATGTTAAGGGCAATTAAGGAAAATAAAATTTTGAGGATCTAATAAATTGATCCTTATAGTAAATTATCCTTCAGAAAATGAAAGGAATACATGCCTTAAAAAAAAAAACATAAGTTGCTAAAATAGAATAGCAAATGACAGATAATTTCACACTCTCAATGGGTGTTTATTTTCAGAAGTAAGCAAGTAAGAGAATAGGCTGTTTGGCGAAGAGTGGATTCCAGCTCTGTAAATCAAGTAAGTAGGAATCTCGCCTACAACATGAATAGATTTTAAAGAAAAAATTACACATGTTATATATATACATGTTTATGCTTTAAGTATTGTATGCGATGCCATGTCATGCTGCATTCACCTTAATAAGTCAAGAGGAACTTATAAGAATGATTTCAGTTGAGTGTCGTACCAGCCTCCGACCTAAGGGAGGTAACTCAAGCTCCACAAGGGAGAAAAGAAAAAAAAACAATAATGTCCTCCGACTTAAGGGAGGCATTCAAGTTATAATCACGGTGTCGCGGGGGACCTTGCAAACCCTCACGTCCCGATGATTGCGCGCAAGTAGTACGCGAGCACTCGGGCCCATCAGTAAGAAAGATAAGATAAGATAATAAAATTATGATAAGACATCATAATTAAGCATAATCAGCTCATGCATATTTATTCATGTGTACTCACAGTTATTTTGCGAGATATAGTTCCTACTTGCTGAGCGAAAGCTCAATCAGATGTGTTCATGCTGTAGGTAAGAAACCTATCAGCAATTCCTGAAGGGCAATGGTGAGCGGCGGACGAATGGTGGAGATGGGAATGGATACCACTCACGCAATTATTTTCTGCAGTAAGTTTAAGTAAAATCATGTATATATTTATATGATTCAAAGTTTCAAGCACGTATGTTTAAAAAGTATATGTACATATGTATATTAGGGAAACCGAGATTGTAGCTAACAACCCTAGTTTTGAGTATTTAAATTTTAGAACGTTGCAATAGTGCATGCAACAAATAAACAAATTTTAGATATAACGGTTTAAATGATTGATTTTGAAAGGACTTTAAGAAGTACTTGAATTTAAGATTTCTCACAAAATTAGATTTAAGGTCAAATTAGATGGCCCGAACGTATTGGCTAGGTTTAGAAAGGCTTTTAAAGAGTATGTGAAACAAGAGTTCAAATGTCACTCAGTTCGAAAGATATTTTTAGAAGGTTTTATCTTAACTAAAATTAAGAAAAGCTTTAAGTAATTTAGTGATTCATTCTTTTGAAATTATTGTTACGAATTATGAAAGTAATCCTTCTTATGTTTAAAAAAAAAATGTTCCGCAAATTTTAAGAAATTTCAGTAAGTACAAGTTAAAAAGTAAGCTATGGTGGCAGCTCATAGGAGGGTCGTCACAGTTAGTATGTATTACTTTTACTATTGGTAAAATATTTAATAATAATTTTAAAAAGCTACAGGAGTATGAACATAACAAGGGAGAAAAGCTATTAATATGTACCGTAACAATGTCAAATAGCTGTAAGAGGTTGAAAATAACATATCAAACGCTATAAGACTTCAATTCCGTAGCGTTTCTCATATCATTCTCAGAACGCTATGTTTTCGTAGGACTTTTAATAGCGTCCGATATCCTAGTGCTTCACAAAACGCTATTGGTAGTGCTTAATAGCGTTTTTGGTTAGCTATTAATAATGATATTTGTTGTAGTGAAAGAAATGTTGACAAGTCCATAATTGAGAAATGTGTATATTATGCGAGAGAAATAGCGGGCTTGTAAAGGATAATAAAAATTATATTAATAGCAGCTTTTTTGGAAGGTAGAAAATAATAGCATATTTTAAACACAATTTTTAGGCCCGTGTATTTTATATATACTTAAATTTAAATTATTAATTTTGATGCAGTACTATTTTAAAAAATATATATTAAAAAAACTTAAATTGTCACGAGCAACAGAAATCTCCGCCTCAGGAAGAGAGGAAGTTACAAAATCCAGCCGGAGGATAAGGATTGAAATTCCAAATAAGAGCAGGCCAGGGATTCGTTGTTGCATATTCGATATGGACAGGGCTTCTTATCCAAATAGAATTAGGGCTTTCAAATTTTCGGGGATTTTTTAGGGTTTCAGAACTTTTGAGAACAGAATTAGAGCTTTCAAATTTTCAGAGATTTTTTAAGATTTCAGATGTTTAAAAGTACGGGTAACATGGGAAAAACAAACAAACTTCGTTAAGATTCTGTTATTTATAAACTAAAATTGAGTTTGGGATTCTTGTACTTTTAATAGAATCACTATTATTATTTTTATTTTATTTTTTTATGAAAAATTGCCATTGTTTAAAGGGGATACAAAGATAAGGACCAAATCCAAAGCAGTCAAATCAATAACAACATTTCCTTCTCTCGGCACAAAGCAACACTTCCAATTGACAGTTGAGGATAGTAGATTTACAAAGTCCTCCATGATCACGCCTTTATCACCAAGCGACGGAGCCATGCACAAAGGGCCATATTGACTTGAAAACCGGCAGATTTAGCATAGAGTAATCCTTCACAAAGGGCC